GTGTGTGTGTAATAGGAAAAACTGAAAAGAGGTTTTTAATTTGATATCTCAAATAGTTTTGTATTTTTTTTTTTAATTTATGTTATTGCAATTAGTAAACCGCCAGAAAAAAAATAATTGTAATAGTATTGGTATTATCGCAAAACCATTTCTTAAAAGCGTGAACGGCAGGATTCGAACCTGCGCGGGCAAAGCCCACATGATTTCTAGTCATGCCCGATAACCACTCCGGCACGTCCACTCTAATTAACTACAACCTTCTTCTATTAAAGATTAAACTGTATAATACTTGCAATCCTTATTATTGATTTTTCTATGAGAATTAGACGAGAGTAAATGATATTTTATAACATTTACCAACAGAAGAATATATCTATAGTCCAAATAATTATCATGTAAACCTCCAAACTCTACATATTTTCAAATATTATTTGTTTTGCTAGATAGTTTGTTTTATTCCACTTGAATACAAATGAAAATAATTTATATGTCCAACTTAAGTAAAATCATAAAATAATATTTGGGATAGGCAATAATTGATTATATTAATTAAATTTTAAAGATCATGCAAGAAAATGGTAAAGGGCTTCCCTTACACATAAGAGAACATTTAAATCTAATAGGCACATGCAACAATCTCTCAAACTGAATTTTATTTACACTTTAGATATTAATTTGTACTATTGTTTTAATGATTGAAGAAAGATATTAGTCTAACTCTGAGAAATTATTTTGAAAATATTTATTTTAGCACATTCGGTATTAAAATAATACGATATCAAAAGATGAAACTGAGTTATCTCAGCATAATTCATTATTCTTACACATAATATAAAATCAAAATAAAAAAAGTTTTGAATAAAACATTTCCGACCTACCGGATTCGAACCAGTGACCTAAGGATATTCTGCAACGACTACAGTCCTCCGCTCTACCAACTGAGCTAAGGTCGGATCTATACAAGATTTTATACATGTGTACATAAAGATGAACAGATAAGATCATGCAAGAAAATGGCAGAGGGCTTCCACCACCCATAAGAGAACATTTAAAACTGAACGGCACATGCAACAAACTTCCATGTTGAATGTTATTTAGACTTTACAAATTTGTTTGTACCATAGTTTCATGTTTGAATAAAAATACTAGGCTAACTCTACGAAGTTATTTTTGAATATTAATTTTAGCATATTCAGCATTAAAATAATATAATATATATCTAAAGGATGAAATTGAGCAATCTCAGCACAACCCAGTATTGTTACACATCATGCCAAAATAAAAACGAAAATGCTTTGATAAAAACACTTCCGACCTACCGGATTCGTACCAGTGACCTAAGGATATTCTGCACCTACTACAGTCCTCCGCTCTACCAACTGAGCTAAGGTCGGATGTATACAAAATTTCATACATGTGTACATTCTACATATTGATTATTGATAAGCGATAAGGAAAAAATCTTTTGCTTATATTTCATGCTGCACAATATAAAGCAGAAAGTCATAATATAATACATGTTTCCTGGACCATCATAGCAGTCGCATACAATTAGAAGAACCTAATTACAAAATGTGGCTGTTATTTGTCTGAATTGGCAGCACAATAGTCCTCGATTTTTATCTGATACTTGATCACCATTAATCTCTATAAGAAGTGTTTACAATTCTTGAAATCAAGTTTTAGGTCATAGTTGGAAATTTACCCTGATAACAAGTGTCTAAGTAATTTTAAATTAGTCCACCAATTTTTTTTAAACGAAACCTAATTTTTGTATATACTCCTATTTACATATGTACAGAATATACAGTTTAAGATATGTACATGTGGGTAATATTAAAAAAAAAATATTTTGAAAAAAAAATTAACTATAAAAGCAAAATAGTTGCGACCCAAGGATTTCTCCTAAAAATACAGTGCTCCACTCTAACAACTGAGCTAAGGTCGGCATTATAATAAAATGTTTAATTTAGGTAGATTAGTTAGAGAAGTGTTTGTTTGGTTAATCCTTTGTGTGTGTGTGTGTGTAATAGGAAAAACTGAAAAGAGTTTTTTTTTATTTGATTGTATCTCGAATTGTTTTGTATCTTTTTTTTTAAATTTATGTTATTGCAATGAGTAAACCGCCATTAGAAAAAAAAAATTATAATAGTATTGGTATTTTCTCAAAACCATTTCTTAAAAGCGTGAACGGCAGGATTCGAACCTGCGCGGGCAAAGCCCATATGATTTCTAGTCATGCCCGATAACTACTCCGGCACGTCCACTCTAATTAACTACAACCTTCTTCTATTATATATTAAACTGTATAATACTTGCAATTATTATTATTGATTTTTCTATGAAAATTAGACGAGAGTAAATGATATTTTATAACATTTACCAACAGAAGAATATATCTATAGTCCAAATAATTATCATGTAAACCTCCAAACTCTACATATTTTCAAAAATTATTGTTTTTGCTAGATAGTTTGTTTTATTCCACATGAATACAAATGAAAATAATTTATATGTCCAACTTAAGTGAAATCATAAAAATAATATTTAGGATAGGCAATGATTGATTATATTAATTAAATTGTAAAGATCATGCAAGAAAATGGCAAAGGGCTTCCCTTACACATAAGAGAACATTTAAAACTAATAGGCACATGCAACAATCTTTCAAACTGAATTTTATTTACACTTTACATATTCATTTGTACTATTGTTTTAATGATTGAACAAAGATATTAGTCTAACTCTAAGAAATTATTTTGGAAATATTCATTTTAGCACATTCGGTATTAAAACAATATGATAACAAAAGATGAAACTGAGTTATCTTAGCATAATTCATTATTCTTACACATAATATAAAAATCAAAAAAAAGTTTTGAATAAAACATTTCCGACCTACCGGATTCGAACCAGTGACCTAAGGATATTCTGCAACGACTACAGTTATCCACTCTACCAACTGAGCTAAGGTCGGATCTATACAAGATTTAATACATGTGTACATAAAGATGAACAAATAAGATCATGCAAGAAAATGGCAGAGGGCTTCCACTACCCATAATAGTTATTTTTGATTATTTTTTTAGCACATTCGGTATTAAAAGAATATAATATATATCTAAGTGATGAAATTTAGCAATCTCAGCATAATCCAGTATTGTTACACAACATGCCAAAGGTGTAACAAAGGTCTAGTCTTATATATTAAAATAGAAGTCATGACTTTACTTTATGTGTGATTTTTTTCGTTAGACCTCCTTAGACATTTATAAATATAAATTTGATAATATTAATAATATATAATATACATAACTACTTTAATCATAATTTTTTTCCTTTTAAATGTAAATATATATATATTTCAAACTTCTAGCAAATTTGTTGAAAAAGATTTTTAAAAGATCTCAATTTTAAAAATCTTATCTAAAAATTTTCACTAATTTCGTAATTAATAATAAAATATTATTATACATTAATATATATTCAGTTATTTTTTATAAAATAAAAAATAAAACTTTTATCCTATTTTATTTATTTTATAATCATAATCTATCATATTAAAATAATTGTTATACTGAATAATATAGGATAAAAGTATACTAAATTGATAAATTAATTTATATTTATATTAAATATTTTTCATGCATATATTGATCTAATTAATAAACAAATGTAAATTTATCAAAATAAATATATAATAAGAAGAGACAAATACATGTGACGATTTAAAACAATTGATTAAGTACAACATGTAAAATTATTATATTTGAAATAATTACAAACCTTTAAGCATATGCTTAACGTTAAAAAATAAAAATAAAACATATATAACACATATCTATAAAATATATAAATGAAATTAAACACGTGCGTGGTTACGCGGATTAAAATTTAGCTTTCCCTTAAAACAAAGGTCTAAATAGTTTTAAATTAGTCCACCCTATTTCTTGAAAGAAACTTGACCTTCTAATATACTCCTAGTTATATATGTACACATCATACAATTTAAGATATTTACATGTGTGTAATATTGTTAAACTACTTTGAAAAAAGTAAAAATTAACTATAGAAGCAAAATAGCTGGGACCTAAAAAAGTACTTCTAAAAATACATCTCTCAACTCTACCAACTGAGCTAAGTGTTGAAACACAAGGGGAATTAGTTTAATTCAAGAACTAGAATCACACAAATTCGCTGATACACTCTCTGACGAACTAGACGACGTAGGTAAGAAAGTTGAGTTTGTATAATAATGGAGATAGGAAGAAGAATGCAGAATAAGTAGAAGATAGACACAAGAGATTGTTTACCCAGTGGTTCACCTAGAATGGTTTACGTCCACCGAGGCCTGGCAAGGAGGTTATTCACTATAATCTTAAGTACAAAGATATAGTACATCTCTCTATCTCTCACAACCAAAGCTTACAAACCAAGCTAGGTCTTTTCTTATGTTAAGGAGAAGAGAACACACAAGCTCCTCTTATATATTAGGAGTCTATTAGGTTAAACTAATTGGATTAGGTCATTCGTCCCTTTCCATAAACCTATTTGGAAATATTCCAAAATACTTGCAACTTTCATATCTCTATAAAAGTAATATTTTCAGGATTTTGTCAACTTCCATATCTCCATAAAAGTGACATTTCCTTTTCTTAACATGATATCTCATACGTAGTCACTGATGAATCCTAACACTAAGGTCGGCATTGTAATAAAACACCCAATTTAGGTAGATTAGTTAGAGACATGTTTGTTTGGATAATCATTTGTGTGTGTGTCTAGGTGTGGTACCAAAGTAGATGCTGGTTTGGTTTTATTCTCGTCAGGTTCTGCTACCCGGCATACTTCCTCTGGAATCTCTTGTCAGTGTGATCATCCCTCTCTGTTTCTCTTTGTGGTTTACATCTTCCCTCGCTTTACATTTTCTCTTGTAATATGTGTATTTTCTAAACTTTAATCTCCTTATTTAAAAAAAAACACATATTTGTATTCTGTTGCAAAAACTTAAGTTTATTTTAATATATACTAAATCCCGAGCTAGTTCATTTAGCTTATCTAAGCTAATAAATCAGCTGAGATGAATCAAAAGTACTCGAGTTCATAATGAGCTGAGCCGAGTTAAGCCCGGCAGCTTATCCTGAACGCTCCTAAAGAAATAGGAACAAAAATCCAAATAAAAAGCATAAAAGACAACTTTAGTAGTATTTAGGAATAGTTAGCTAAATTCTGTGTACTGCAAAAGAAAAAGAACAAAACTCTGAGGTACATACACATAAATAGATGAAGTCAGAAACTGATGGTTTAAGGGAGTGAAGCTTGAGGGGATTTGGGTTGGTCGTATGCAGCAATGTTTTGGGGTTCACATTCAGGGCTCAAGAGACGGACAAGTGTTGCAGTAGATGCACTCATGGACACTGCTCCACACCCAGCCCATCGTAGACTTCTTGGTACTGTAACCCTCGGACCTGCACATTCCCCATAGGCAACTGTCATCAAATATAGGGGTAAACATTTTCTTCTATAACCATTGTATCTTAGGTTTTGTCACTCATCTATCATATCCTTTGAATCATAAATGCCCCAAAAACAAAACTATCCCCAGGAATCACCATGGATAAAATAAAAGAAATATGTTTAATTAATTAGGCAGAACAACTTAATAAAGCTTTGCAGATTGTTTTTCAATCAAGTCTTGTGATAAGAAAGAAGAGAAAGTAAGATACCATAGTGAAGTCTGCAGAGAACCCAGAAACCAAGAGCTCCACCAACAGTGAAAATAGCAGCAGTTTGTCTCATGAGCCTTGAACATGGCTTTGCATCTGATCTCATTAGATCTCCTTCTGACCATCCTAACTTCTGTCTCAACGCCATTTCTCTCTGTAACAACACCAAACTTCACTTTTTCAAAAAAAAAAAAAAAAGAGTAAAAACCTTGGTTTTCGGACAAAGATATTCACTGAGACATTTCATCGAACAGTATAAGGATGTCTTCAGAACAAACCAGAACAGATAAGACCTAAGCATTTTAGAACATAACAGAGATAATCTAAGCATGTCAGAACAGAACAGTAGATTGGATTCTTGATTCCCCTAAACAACGGTTGTATTCCCGCACAATTAAATTGTCGAATTGGTTAATTAAGAATAATCGGCGAAATGGATAAGAGTGAAGATTCAAACGGAGAAAAGTGAGCACAGAGGAGCTCACCGGAGACGAACAGAAGTGAAATAGCTTATGGCCGGCAGAGGTTCGTAGCAAATAGGCAACAAAGATTATCAGAGGGGAGACAACGTGTACAAAAAGCCTTTACATTAATATTTGCGACCTAAGACGAGTTAAAGTTAAATTTTATAAATTTCTTATTATTTTACATCAACTTACAAGTACGCCCAAATTTTTTTTGACAATAATGATATTCATTTCTTATAAAAATAAACTATAATATTAATTTTATTAACATTTTTCTATATCATTATTTAAGAAGTAATTTTGCTTAATTGTCATGTTTTCCATAAATTTAAGTAATTTTGTTTACTTATCATATTTTTAAAATTTATGTATAATTGATTTATAAACAAAACGAATTTAGATGAATGTATCATATTTTTAGAAAATAAGATAATTCTTGTGAATCATGTTATTATCTTGAACTATATTTTATATATAAAACTTAAATTTTCAATTCAGATATAAAAAATATTATATTTATTATATAACTAAACAAATTTAGATTAATAATTTATATTTTTCTAAAGTAAGTTAATTCTTATGTATTATGTTGTTATCTTGAAAATATATTTTTGTTATAAAATTAAAATTAAAATGTAAACAATCTATATTATTATTTATGAAAAGAATTAGATGTTTGCTGATTTGTCATATTTTCCATGTTTTTTAGGTAATTTTGATAGTTTATCATATTTTCTATAATTTTATATATAATTTATTATATATTTAAAACAAATTTATATTAACAATATCAGATTTTTAGAAAACAAGATACTTCTTATATATTGTGTTCTTGTCTTGAGAATATATTATTCTATTAGGAATTTAAGATATAAAAAGTTATAGTTATTCTATAATTAAAATAAATTACACTAATAATATTATATTTTTAGAAAATAAGGTAATTTTTATGTATTATGTTGTCATCTTGAAAATATATTTTTATATTATATAATTTAAAAGTAAAATTATCTATTATTAATAAAATATAAATCACTACTCAAGCAAAATTATTTAAGAAGTGAATTTGCTAATTTGTTAAGTTCTCCATGATTTTAATTAATATTCATTATATGTCATCATTTCTATAATCTTATATTACTATTACATAATTAAAACGAATTTATTATATTATATTTTTAGAAAAAATAATGTATGCATTATATTGTTATTTTGAAAATATGTTTTATATTGTAAAATTTAAAATTAAGATAAAATATAATTAAATATAAATTAAGTAATATATTTGTATAAATATTATAATTAAATATAAATCAAGCAAAATAATTATAGAAATATATTTTTTAAAAATATTTCTGATGTTTTTATTTTGTCATCTATAATTATTTGATGTTTGATTTGTACTTTTTGAAAACATAAATAATAAATTAATAAAACATCAATTAGTAAATATTCATAAGAGAATTATGCTCGCAAATGCGGATAAAATAACTAGTATAATTGTAAAGGAAAATATAGAATTATAAAATTCAATCTAAAAATATTAACTTTTTTTTTTATTTTGAATGACTAAAACAGACTCTAGGTGCCTCCAAAGTCAACTAAAAAAGATTGAATGTGTCATTGTCACTTTCACTGGACAAAATAATTATCTATACGCAAAAATGAGATAAACGGAGGAAAAGGAAAATTTCTTCCCCTCATAAAAAGTTCCGACCTTCTTGATCTTCACCACAATCCACTTATTAGGTTTGTTGTTCGATCATTAACTAAATTTTCTCTCTAAAGATTTGGTGTTTCCACTTTTTACAGATGACTTTGTTAAACATGTCTTCCACCATCTAATTCATTTCTTCTTCTTCTTCTCTTCTGTGTAGATTACTTTTTCCTGGAAACATAATCGAGTTTAACAGTCAGTGATCAACTTGGTTCAACTTTAGTAAGAGTAAGAATTGACTATTAAATTGCTTCAGTAACTAATTAATTCAAGTTAATTTTGGGATTTCAATGATAAATTAACTAGAATTATTATTAGCTTACTTTAATGACGATACATATGACAGGACATGATGCTTATCCGTCAAGTCATCTGCTTCTGTCTCTTAGCAACCTTGCTACATCCCACAACCTCAAGTGATCTGTTCCGTGTCGGTCTGAAGAAAAGACGGCTCGAGCTCGATGATATTAGAGCCAGCAGAGTGATCAGAAAGCTGAAACATTCACAAGGAGAACTCACATATTACCCTTCTTTTGCTACTCTTGGGGGTGAGTCTAGTGAGGAGAATCAGGTTATTCTTAAGAACTACTTGGACGCTCAATACTATGGAGTTATTGGAATCGGAACACCTCCACAAGAATTCGAAGTTATATTCGATACAGGAAGTTCAAACCTCTGGGTTCCTTCTATACATTGCAAATTTCTAGACGTGAGTTATACAAAATCTTGATTTTGTTTTGTGTGTTGTTTAGAACCGTCTTTTTTGTCTTATGTTGTCTAGTATTTATATGTTGTGCTCTTCAGCTGGCTTGCTGGGTCCATCACAAGTACAAGTCTAGAAAATCCAAAACCTACACAAAGAACGGTACTTACATTGTCTATATATAGTGTAGTGTTAATAAATAAACCAATTTTGGTATCATTTAATCACATTTTGAGTAATAACAGGAAAGCCGTGTACTATAACATATGGTTCCGGATTCATCTCTGGATTCTTTAGTCAAGACAATGTAGAAGTTGGTGGTCTTGTAGTTAAAGATCAGGTTCTTGATTTGTCTCTCCTATACAAAAACCTATTTGGTTTGCAATGCAATCACACTAAAAAAAATTATTACAATATTAGGAATTTATTGAAGCTACACACGAAGGGAGTCTCTCTTTTCTCCTAGCAAAGTTCGATGGACTATTCGGGTTAGGGTTTCAGGAGATTTCAGAGGGAAATGCTGTGCCAGTTTGGTACAACATGGTGGATCAAGAACTAGTGAAGGAAAAGGTGTTCTCATTCTGGCTAAACCGTGATGCGGATGCTGAAATGGGAGGTGAGATTGTATTTGGTGGTGTTGATCCTGCGCACTTTAAAGGCTACCACACTTATGTCCCTGTCACTAGAAAAGGCTATTGGCAGGTGAGAAGACTGTTACTTGGTCCATATATACTCTCTTGATTTTGGCTAAAGTTTTTTCATCTTTTTTCAGTTTAACATGGGAGATATCTTTGTGAGAAATGACTCAACTGGTAATAATACTATATGGTCTGAATGTTAATTGCTTTAGTCAAACTGTGGGTAATGAAATCAAAAACTTTTATTGTGTAGGTTTCTGTGAGCAAGGATGTGAAGCAATCATGGACTCAGGAACTTCATTACTAGCTGGACCAACTGTAAAAATAAAACATTTCCTTTAACCTTTTTCGCGTCTTCAAACTTTAAATACAATGTTTCTACTTAATATTTGATCTTTTAATTTCAGACTGTAATCACGCAAATCAACCACGGAATTGGCGCTAGGGGCGTTGTTAGTGCTGAGTGCAAAATAGTTGTTTCTCAATACGGAGAAATGATATGGGATCTGTTAGTCTCAAAGGTAAAAAAAATACTTTGTCAGTTTTGCTATCATATATTGCATTCTTGTAAATCAAGAAAAAATCTTGATGTTAACGTGCAGGTGCTGCCTAGTCTTGTGTGTAAAGAGATCGGTCTCTGTGTTTTTGGAAAAGAGTATGTGAACTATCTCGTCAAAGCAAAAAAACCCATAACACATTAGTAAGTATAAACTTCGATTTGATGAGTGCAGGGCGGGAGTCATATCAGTGGTGGAGCAAGAAGGATCATCAGTTTTATGTAAGGTCTGTGAGATGGCTGTTGTCTGGGTTGAAACACGACTAAAACAGAAAGAAACCAAAGAGAAAGTGTTTGAAGACCTGAACAAGCTTTGTGAGAGCTTTCCTAGTCCAGCAGGAGAATCAATAGTTGACTGCAACAACTTCCAAAACATGCCAAATGTTACATTCACAATTGGAGGCAACCCCTTCTCTCTCACTCCTCAACAGGTTTTTCAAAAGATTACTTCTTATAATAAATACTCTTACCTGAAAACGTTCTATTTTCATACATTTTGTTTTGCTCTTGTTATATGGTTTAGTACATTCTCAAAACTGGAGTTGGCTATGCTGAGACGTGTATAAGTGGGTTTTCTGCTTATGATTTGCCTCCACCGACTGGTCCTCTTTGGTAAGCCAAGTTGATTTTTGCATTTCCATTTTTATTTTAAGGTTTTGAGGTCAAGGCTGCGTCTATGCAGGATTCTTGGGGATGTCTTTATGGGAGCTTACCACACGGTATTCGATTCAGGCAATCTTAAAATTGGTATTGCAGAAGCCACATAAGTTTATGTACACCAGTTATCTATGTAAGTACATTGTGTGTGTTATAAGTGTAAATTTGAACATAAAATGGTTCCTGGTGTATATTTATTACATCACAACGTAGACGTAATATTGATACAGATAACGGTCTAGTATTTGATCATCTTCAAACTTTTAAGGTCCCTTCACATTTGGTTATGATTGAAGACTGATCACGCAAAACAAAAGGAGAACTAGAATCATAGCATTTTGGGACTTTTTCAAAATTTTACTTATCTAATATGGCAATAAAAAGACTATTAAATAACAGAGAGATTAAAAATTACAACTGCGTCCATAATAACACAGCATTAAAAAAAAACTTGAGATACATTGTTCAAAAGAAACTAAAAGAAAAGAAATGGATTTTGACCCAAAAAAAAGAAAAGAAATGGTTTATTGTTTTTGTTTTCTAGTCCTATTTGGTAAGAACCCAAATAGCATATATCATTCCAGGGATATAACCCAAGAACGTTAGGAGCAAACAGAGCCAAAACTCCAACTGCAAAAAAAAAAAGAGTACACAAAAGATGAGAAAAAGAGAGATTCCAATCTTGCTTAACGATGGTTGTTAAAGATTAAGAGATATATATGTGTATGAAAAACGCATTACCCCACAGCCAAATCTGAGGAATACACCAACAGGAGGTATGAGAACTGCACAAAGAATTTCAACGAAACTGCCCATCCTCTTCTGTAA